AAATGAAATGCACTTACATGGATGGCAAGGCGAGAAAATATCTCTTTGGCCAGGAATTGTTTTCAAGACATGGAATTTTAGACTTTTTAGCATAGTAAGTTCGAACTGAGTGGATTCGCGGACCGACATAGAGTTGCTAAATCATTCCATTTATGATAAGATAAGATAAGGAAAAATTTTTTTTAATATTCTGAAGGGAGTGGACAATTAAATGTGTCTTATCTCCATTCCCTTTCATGTGCAACCCATACCTTATTGCAGGTACTACTATCTCCCGCGCGTTGCAAGCCAGTGAATATGTCTTGCAGTGCTAAAGTTACTGTCAGTAGAATTCTTACCCTGGCTGTGTTGATCCTCGTGGCCCTCGTCGCGTTCGCCCCATATCTGCTGGAAACCAAGAGAGGCATGATTTCGGACGATGAAGATAGAGAGATAATCGAAGGTGAAGTTCCAACATTTGCCTTTCACCAGAAGGGAAACCCTACTTTGACCCAGAAACCAACGGGTACCACGAAACCAACTGTGACAATGCAACCAATAGAGACCAATCCACGAGCTGAGACCACGAAACCAGAAGAGACCACAAAACCAGAAGAGACCACAAAACCAGAAGAGACCACAAAACCAGAAGAGACCACAAAACCAGAAGAGACCACAAAACCAGAAGAGACCACAAAACCAGAAGAGACCACAAAACCAGTCATGACCACAATACCAGCCATAACCACAATAGCAGCCACGACCACAAAGGCAACGTTCGAAGCGGACACCACGAAGCCCATCAAGACAACGAATCCAATGGAGACGACACAACCAACCGAAATGAAGCAATCATTCAAGACCACGGAAATCCGTCAGTTCTGGCCGGATCTCCCCCTAACACCAGAGCAATGCGAGAACGCGACCTTCGTCACTACCTGGAGCAACGGCAGACTGGGGAACCGGATCGGCGAGTACATCTCCCTCTTCTCCTACGGAAGAAAATTCGGAAAGATCCCCGTTCTCAACAACACTCTCTTAGACGAACTCCTCCCCCTCTTCCCGCACGTCAGCCTAAAAAGGATCAACGAGACCGGCTGTCCTGAGAGAAACTGGTCAAGCTCTGGTATCTCCCTGTATGGCCAGGTCAATCCGCCGTGGAACCAAACGGAATTCATCGAGCACAAGGATGTCAGCCTCATCGGTTACCCGATCGATTTCGAACTTTTCGACGAATTCAAAGCCGATTGGATGCCGGATTTCAGGTTCAATTCAACGGTTTCGGAGCAGGTGGAACAATTTCTATCCTCAATATCCGCGCAATATTGGCCAGATGCGACTTACGTGGGTATCCACGTCCGACTCACCGATCAGACGAGCGCCTACAAAGATAAATTCGGCGCGGAACCCTTGACGACCGCATACTTCAGAAGAGCCATGATTCTCTTCGGCCGCATGTTCCCACGCGTCGTGTTCATCCTCGCCAGTGACGACATCGGATGGTGCAAGGAAAACATTAAAAGTGTCGGTCGAGAACTGCCGATCGTGTTCGTCGAAGAAAAGGGCCGGGACTTCGATTTCGTCGCTCTGTGTCGTTGCAATCACACGATTACTTCCTATGGGTCTTTCAGTTTCTTTGTGGCCTATTTCACCGGGGGACTCGTGGTCTCCCCGAAAGTCATCTCCGAGAAAGTCCTTCCGAATGACTTGATGGCCAGACACCTTGACAATTGGATCTTCCTTGACAATTGATCATTTTTCATTAGGAAAAAATTATAATTTTTCAAATGTTTGTTTACTTCGACGGCATTCCTTCTGCGTTCTCGCCCCAAGCTTCCCTTAAAATATCCCTTCCTACTGGGTTTCTCACCCAGATAGGAGTATTACATGAATTCCCAAAGGCAAATGCTCATAAATGTTTAGGGGAAGGAGGTGGGGGAAAGGGGAGGAGGGAGAAAGGAGAGGGAGGGAAGTGTCTAATGGAAAGGAAATTAATTGGCACTAAAACTGGCAATTTCCTTGATTTTTTCCAGTCTCTTCAGTCTACGAATTGGACATACCTTGAAATATGCAGCCGACGCTGAATAAAGAGATTTTTCTCCTTGAGTTTCCAGACTCAGTTCGTGGATACCCATGGAGTACCACCTTATCACCTTTTATGGAACTCGGGATGAGTTGCGGCTTCTTTTATGCTCGGGTCGAAATCTCTCTGTGTCGCACTGAAAATGAAGTCGTGAATGGAGTGAGCAACGGGAATGTCGAAGAAATTCCAGTGCTGTCCTGGAAACAAGGGTGTTTTAGAAACGAATCGAAAGAACTTGAAAGTAGGAAATGATATGAAATATATTTAAATGTATTATACGAGTATATAAATATAAAATCGTATATAAAATATCTAGACAGTCTAGACGTGCAGTATTAATCCGTCCTCTTTTGAGAGAAATCTTCCGTGGAAAAACTAAGAAGCGTATCAGGTGCTCAACACGTTAGCCGACAGAGTCCTCAGTCGGCCATTGCATTCTCCAGGGCGCCCGCTCCTTCTCGAATGAGCGGCCTAGGGACCTTCTTCAGGCTCAGAAAAATATCCGATCGGTCGAAGAATCTTCCTGCCATTCTCGTTGAGCAAAAGAAGTCGTCCTACGATGACGACGACACGGCAATAGTCGGCGGAACTCGAGACGAGAACGACTTGGAATCGTTCGTTCAGCATCTCGATCGTCTGCCACCACGATTTCATCTTCGACATAGAAAAATGTCAAGACAATTTTTGTCTCACCCATAGAGCAAAGTAGAAACGTACAAGGAGAGGTACGAATGTGAGAGGTACATATTGTGTCCCTCGGGTCTGCACGTGTGGTCCAGACGTACACATGTGTACGTTGCTGACGCATATGTACGAGTTCTCAGTGCAGTACTCAAAGTAGGCATAAGATGGCGTTTATGTTCCCTCAAATTTTCGAACTCGAGTCAGGACTCACCAGACCTTAGGAGAAGAGTTTTCTTCCTTTCCCTGTATTTATCTTATCGTAATACTTGTCAAGGAGTATTCAGTAAAAGTATAAATATCATGTTTCAATGGCAATCAATGATTCTGGAAAATTGTAAATGCTGGGGTTTTGTACGGGAACAGAGAAGTGTGAGCCAACAGGTTATGAGTTTTTTTTCGTTGTTAAACGGGCGGCCAACTTTCAATAAACTTGAAAGATTGTCCTAAAAGAGGGTGTCCCCATGATAACAGGAGAAAGATTCTGTTCATGAGACAGCCGCCACGCCCTATGCGAAATGGAAGCGCTGTCAGCGTGTTATCAGCGACAGGTCGCTACCTGTCGTAGACGTGGTGACGGCTGACGGGCCATTAAAGCTCCCTTCGAAGCCGACAATGGAGGTTCATGAGCCGGTTTTTGAACCCCCTTAAGCCCGATGTGAATAGAGATAAGAAAGGTACACATGTGTACCTTCTGTACCTTATCAACGAACGTATTTTACAACATACTTGTTTGTACTTCATGACGTACAAAATGTGAACCGGATTGTACGTTTCTGCTTTGCTGTGTGTGGCCAACATCGACCCGGTAATTTCTCGGTGATTAGGAAACCAAAATGCCTAAAAACTGGAATAAAAAGAGGTCAATTAATCAGGAAACACTCCTTGAAATATCAAGCGGATTTGTATCATATGATCCATAATTTGTGCCATTTTGTAGCCATCGTTAATTTTCCGCGCAAGTACAACTTTTACCCTGTAAATTTACAGTATTCAGCATCTCAATTTATTACACTGCCTAGTATTTTTCACTAAATCCTAAAAAGTACCCATATTCAACTAAAAAATATTGGAATGTACAATGTACGGCAAAAATACCCGGACGAATAAAAAATTAACATTTTTTTTGGAAAATGAAAATTTTTTTTTAAACCAATGAGAACAAAAACAAAGTTTACAATCAAAATGGCCACATCCTGCCTCGATGCCCTGCTTGAGTCTCTTTGGAAAGTTGTCAACGACTTTGCTCACCATCTCCAAAGATAAACTAATGCACTAATTGTTCCTTTATTTGCAATGATCCTTGTTGTTTTCGGTTGAACATTAAAATAAACCGTTTGGTCGATTTTCGAGGTCATGCCATTAAATGAAATGAATCAGGTCAAACTGATCAGACAAATATTTTGAGCCATGTTTCATGATTATTTGAACTACTTTAATTCAAATTTTTAGGCAGTTTGGTCTTCTGGTTGTTGGGAAAATTTTCAATAATAAAATTTTAAATAATAAAAATATATATATTGGTGTACTTTATTTTTCCCGAACATCCTGTATATTAGATCCAGGGTGTCCAATTGGCGGCCCTCGGGCCGGATCCGACCTGCCAATTCATGTTCTCCGGTCTGCGAATTCCTCTTAAACAGTTAAAAATTTAGAGAAAATTGCTGCAAATTTCACTTGTTCCCATTAAAAATGTCGTGTATGTGGTGTGCGATGTGAGGCCCCCAAAACACATCTGAACCAAACCATTTTATCCCCGCCAAATTGAGTTGGACTCCAGATCAGATGAACACAGGGGACAATAAATAATGCGGGCAATAAAACCGACGGATGCAACTAAAATTCAGGGGGTTCTCTTGATAAAAACCAGATATGATGAGAGCAAACTGCTCTAACTTCTTCGTACTCCTACACAAGCGCATCCCTTTTCTGCGAGTACCGACGGAAATACTTTGAACGCCAGGGAATGTCTCGTCTCCGTGAAATTGCAATCGGGAGTGTTTTTGGTTTGGCCGTGCTGACCTTTGTGGTATACGTCGCCCAAGTTCGTTCTCTGTGGGAAATGAGGAGAAAGGTCCCGGATGATGAAGGCCGGGACGCAAGAATCATCCGGCCAGAGGTCCAGCCAAAGAAACTTCCGGATTTTTCTTTTCACGAGAAGCAACCGGTTAATTTGATCAAGGAGACAATAGTGACCACAAAACCCCCGGAGACGACAAGGCCAGCGGAGGCCACGGAACCAACAGAGGCCGTGGAATCAGCGGAGGCCACGGAACCAGCGGAGGTCACGGAAGCAGCGAAGACGGAAACATTTCGTCCGTTCTGGCCGGATTTCCCCCTGACCCCAGAACAATGTGAGAACGCGACCTTCGTCACTACCGGGAGCAACGGCAGACTGGGGAACCGGATCGGGGAATACGCCACCCTCTTCTCCTACGGAAGAAAATTCGGAAAAATCCCTGTCGTCAAAGATGGCCTCATGGACGACCTCCTGCCTCTCTTCCCGCACATCAGCCTGAAAAGGATAAACGAGACTGGCTGTCCTCCGAGGAATTGGTCAAAAACTGGTCTCTCCGCGTATGGTCAGGTCAATCCACCGTGGAACGACACGATATTCATCGAGCACAAGGATGTCGCCTTCATCGGTTACCCGATCGATTTTGACATTTTCGACGAATTCAGAGCCGATTGGATGCCGGATTTCAGGTTCAATTCAACGGTTTCGGAGCAGGTGGAGCAATTCTTATCTTTAATATCTGCGCAATATGGGCCAGATGCGACTTACGTGGGTATCCACGTCCGACTCACCGATCAGACGAGCGCCTACAAAGATAAATTCGGCGCGGAACCCCTCAAGACCGCATACTTCAGAAGAGCCATGACTCTCTTCGGCCGCATGTTCCCACGCGTCGTGTTCATCCTCGCCAGTGACGACATCGGATGGTGCAAGGAAAACATTAAAAGTGTCGGTCGCAAATTGCCGATCGTGTTCGTCGAGGAGAGGGGCCGGGACTTCGATTTCGTCGTCCTGTGCCGTTGCAACCACACGATTACGTCCTATGGCTCGTTCAGCTTCTTTGTGGCATATTTCGCTGGTGGACTTGTTGTTTCTCCAAAAAGTTTTTCTGAAAAAGCCCTTCCAAATGACCTGATGGTCAGAAACCTTGACAACTGGATCTTTCTCAACAATTGATTGCTTTTTTTAAAGGGAGAAAAATGATTTTTTGCATGTTTGCTTCCTGTTTACAGTGCTGTATCTCTTACAGAAAAACCCAAAAGGAATGAGGTTTTTATGTTTAAAAAATCTCGTATTATCTTTTAGGATCTTTTTGTAAAGGAATCCCTAAACGGAATTTACTTTCTGCATAAATTTCTTTCAAAATTTCCCTTCCTGCTTCGTTTCTCACTCAGAAAGGAGATGAATAAGATGAATAAGATGAATGTAAGATGAATATAACATGAAGAAGTATAAGATGAATTCCCAACAGGGAATGCCCATAAATCGGCGATTTTCAGAGGGAAGAGAAAAATATGAAATGGATAATATTATACTTTCCCAGATTTGGAATTGAGGTACAAGGTGTTTCGCAAAATTGTTTACCGTTTTGAATTGCCGCAATTTCTTCATCATAATGAACAGTCACTTCAAAGAAAAACAAAAAATTCGCAGAGAAACTTCTAAATTTTTGTTCTAGTGGAAAACAAGAGGAAAATGAGCCGAAGCTGAAGAACAATCACGCGGAATGCCTCGAACTCGACTCGTTCCCTTGAGTTCTGCAATATCTGGCATGTCCTGAAGGGTTCGTCCTTGCTGTATCCCTTCAGGTAAAAGGCGAGTGGACTGAGGTCTTCGGATTGTTTCAGCCACTCAGTGGCATCTCAGCGAGAAATGAGCCACCGTGCGAATCTCTCAGCCATCCAAGGCTAATGCGGATAGTATGTCAGGGTGTTCTATCTTACTGGGAAAAAATTCCGTTTCTGCATATCAGGAAAGAGAACAGTTTTCTGGCTGAATATGCATTACAAACGGAATATTTTTTTCCAGCAAGTTGGGCAACCTGCCATACTGCCGACATATGTCTAGAGTGGCTGAGTGAGAGATTCGCTCGGTGGCTCATTTCTCGCTGAGATGCCACTGAGTGGCCGAAACAATCCGAAGACCTCAGTCCATTCGACTGTTACCTGAACCAAAGAGTGTTCAGGGAGGCAGTCCAAAACTTCTTCGAGGTTGTTCTTCAGCTTGAGGTGCAAAAATGTGGGAGTTTCTCTGCGACTTTGTTTTTTGTTTGAAGTGACTGTTCATTGTAATAAAGAAGTAATGTAAATTAAAAATGGTATGCATGTTTGTGACACTGTACGACGCGCTTAATCGTCGACTCTCTTCAGAATATTTTTCATTATTTCCATGTCTTATCTTATCACAAAAGGAATGATTTATGAACTCTGTGTCGGTCCGCCAATCCTCTCAGATCAAACCTACAATATTAAAAAAAGTTTAATTCCAAGTCTTGAAAACAATGAAGAGAAATTTTCTCGACGTCTTACCACCCATGGAGGTAATTCCAAACGAAAGTCTCAGGCTGCATTTTGGAAAAAAAAGAGCAAAATATAGTCTATTATAGCCTTGAAAGCATTAAATCGTGCATCAAATACCTGCATCATTGCGTTCTCAAAAGGATGAAAACATCTGCTTGATGCGCTTCTCAGGAACATCTTCACGAAATCGCGAGGACGAAAACCACGAAGGCGGCAAAGACGTTCAAGCATCCTAGCGGAGAGAGAAGGAACGGCTGGAGGCACTTTGAATAATCTTTACCATCGAATTCTAACGATTCCACGAGAGCAACACGGAGATACTTAGCTTTGGTCTTTCGTGGAACAGTCAAACCGTCCATTGCAAACCGTTGCTCAGGTGGTGGCGAATGGCACGTTCTTCCATTGATTGGGTGGTAGGGGGAGATTCGGCTGGAACTGGTGGATTTTCGCTGTCTCGGGTGGTTGCTTCTTCACGGTTGGTTGTGTGGGCTCTGTCGTCTGCCTTGTCTTGACGGGTTTCGCGGTGTCCGCGTGGAGCGTTGCCTTTGCGGTCATGGCTGAATTGCGAAAGGCAAAGGTTGGAAGTTCCACCTTCGATGATCTCTCTGTTTTCATCGTCCGGGACAATACCATTCTGAGTTTCCCCGCAGATACGGGACGAAAGCCACGAGGGTCAACACAGCCAAGGTGAAAAATTCTACTGACCGTAACTTTAGCGCTGAAAGACATTTTCACCGACTTGCCAAGCGTAGGAGTTAGTACTGACTCCCATAAGGGGAAAGCTCGCATATGCATTAAAGTGGGATTGAGATATGAAGAATTTGCATGTCGACTCCCTTCAGAATATTTTTCATTATTTCCATGTCTTATCTTATCAGAAACGGAATGATTTACCAACCCTGAGTCGGTCCGCCAATCCTCTCAGTTCGAAACCACAAAATAATCATTTTTAATTTAAAACTTCCAATCTTGAGAACAATTCCTGGTATAAGAGAAACTTTCTTACCATCCAAGGAAGGAAAATTCATATGAAATTTCGTAGTAAAGTCTCTGCTGGAACTTGGAAACTCTAAATTTGGAAATTTTCGTCTTGCAAAGCCTTCAAGACGTGCAATCGTTGAAGCGGAAAAAACCAAGTCGCTTCCTTCTCTAAAAGATTAAGACTTTCGCCTGATATCAGGAACATCTTCAAGCATCTTTGCCATCAGACTCCGACGAATCCTCGACAGCAATAACGGAGGTACTCATTATTGGTTTTTCGAGGAACAGCAAAACCGTCGATTTGCAGAGGATGATTGGCCGGATTTCAGGAAATCGATGTTCCTGCACAGCAAAGCAGAAACATAGTCAGGTACATAATTTGTACGTTATGAGGTACATACGTATGTCATAAAATACGTTCGTTGAAAAGGTACAGAAGGTACACATGTGTACCTTTCTTATCTCTATTCACATCGGGCTTAAGGGGGTTCAAAAACCGGTTCATGAACCTCAATTGTCGGCTTCGAAGGGAGCTTTAATGGCCATCCGCCATTTAATGGCCCGTCATCCTGCACCATGTCTACGACAGGCAGCGACCCGTCACTGATAACACGCTGACAGCGTCTCCATTTCGCATAGGACGTGCCGACTGTCTCATGAACACACCTGTCATCATGGGGACAGTAAGTAACTAGACCACCTTGTTTAATAAGGACAATCTTTCAAGTTTCTTGAAAGTTGGCCGCCCATTTCTCTGAGAGAATAAACTCATAACCTGTTGGTTCACACTTCTCTGTTCCCGTACAAAACCCCAGCATTTAAAATTTTCCAGAATCATTGATTGCCATTGAAACATGACATTTCTACTTTTACTAAATACTCCTTTACAAGTATTACGATGAGATAAATGCAGGGAAAGGAAGAAAACTCTTCTCCTAAGGTCTGGTGAGTCCCTCCTCGAGTTCGAAAATTTGAGGGAACATAAAAAAACGCCATCTTACGCCTACTCTGAATACTGCACCGAGAACCCGGACATCTGCATCAGCAACGTACTCGTGTGCACGTCTGGACCACACGTGCAGACCCGAGGGACACAATATGTACCTCTCGCATTTGTACCTCTCCATGCACGTTCCTACTTTGCTGTGTGGTAGAAGGGCCATGAACGTTGGAATCCAAAGAAACGTTTCCGCATCTTTCCTGTATGCCTTGGTCTTGCTATAGAAGGAAATGCATGAGGGATGAACCTGAAGGCGACATTTTCGGGGAAATGAAATATCTCTGCTTAGTTCATGTTGCTAACATCAAGTCGTTTCACTTCGCACAAACAGAAGTAGCGGAAACCCACAAAAAGGTATCATGACCCCAGGGAGTTTTACCACATTTGTAGATACGAGAATCGGAAAATGGATGTTTAAAGCGTATTTGATATATTTTTTGGAGCGCAGAGCGCCGAAGCCGCGTTCGTAGCAATTAGAAACGTTTCCACTGCGGGACAGAGGAATCGGCGATTCCTGTTAAAATGTGCCTTTCCCGCTTAGTTGTCGTTGCCACTCTTCGGTCGCCTGGTTAGTTTCAATTTCGTTTCCTCTTTAATGAGATTTGGAACATGGGGAAATACCAAGAGCATATAAACTTTAAACGCAGGCTCATGAATGAAAGGAAAATTTATTGTCATGAGGAAAATTTATTGTCATGAGGAAAATTTATTGTCATGAGGAAAATTTATTGTCATGAGGAAAATTTATTGTCATAATAATGTCATGATTCACAATGATTATTCTCATTTAACTGAATTTCAAATTAACCATTATCTCATCATTAATGGGGTTCTCGTCATTAAAGCCTATCCTCAGAAAATTCACAATATTTTTTAACAGATGAATTCCATGTTGAATTCGCAGGTCATTCCTTCCTCTTAAAAATTTTTTTTCTTACATTTTTGTATTTTGTGGATAATCATGGCTCAACCTCAATGTGTAAAACACCGGCACCAGTTTTGCGCATTGCAAAAAAAAAAGCACGTCAGATAAGCTAACACCTGAGCAAACGATAACAATCATGCGCGGAGAATGGATAAAACTGCATCAAGTTAATGTTGCATCCAGCAAGGATTAAAAAGTAAAATTTATTCTACTTAAAAAAAAAATAAAAATATGGAGCAAAAAAAAAGGAACATACGAATAATTATTGGAAGAGGGAAGATGAATTTTGTCGACGATGGCATTTGCTTCGCGTCTCTGATGACGTTCTTTAAGTCAAATCCTCGCCGTCTTTTTTGGCATTTAGTTCTGTTCCCGTTGGTCGGACGCACTCAAGCTCCTTAGAGTCAATCGATCATCATTGCGACTTTTGCCCTGTCAATCATCTAAACACTCTTGGATGAAAATGCGTCTGTTTTTTGCAGCGTCGCAGGAGGGTCCAAACAACGATCACGGACGCGACGGCCAAGGTTTCCCCACAGATGCTCAATTGGAACGAGATCCGGAGAGCGAGCCGACCAAAGTAGGATGGGTACGTTGGCAACCCTGCAAGTAGTTGGCGGTCACTCGGCACGTGTGGGATCTGGCGTTATCCTGCTGAAAAGTGCTGGCTGGAGGAAGGACACCAGCACTGGCAGCAGGATTTCATCCACGTAACGCCGGCCAGCAAGATTCCCATGGATGACCACAAGTTGAGATCGGCCACAGAGGCTAATGGCTCCCCATACCATGACGCTGCCTCCACCATAACGGTCATGCTCCGAAATAAACACGCCTCCAGAAACCTCTCAGTCGGCAGGCGACGCACTCGGATTCGCCCATCGTTGAAGCCTAAGCAAAAGCAGGATTCATCTGAGAAGGCAATTTCCCCCTACTCTTGAATCCCCCAGTTCTGCCGGGCACGACACCAATTTAGCCTGGTCTGACGATGGACTGGTCCTAGGGCAGGGGTGGGCAAAACACGGCCCGCGGGTCGAATCCGGCCCGTCAAATGATTCTATCCGGCCCGCCGCTCAGTCTAACAAAAAGAAAAATTGTAGTTCGTTCAGTCATAGAAAGGACCAATTTTAATCAAAGAAGAAGCTTAGCTTGCTCATTTCGTTTGTCATAACCGCCCCTCTTCCCCTTCCTTTCCTCTCCTCAATAGCCATGTCTCGACTAGTCTTTTCCAGAATAGCGCTTTCTTGGGATTCAAGTTATTAATTATCAAGATGTCATGCTTCCCAGGATAGCCGGGCCGAACTGTCAATCCTGCAAACTCGGGGATTTGATATTGGGTATCTAGCTGTTCTGACGGTGAGATTTTCTAGGATTCGAGCCATTTGGATGCATTTTGTCACAGACAGTCCTATAGGCTACACCACAGTGCAATTTATCATAACTGAAGATGAATGACATGAAATGTTTTTTGAGGGCGATATACTTGGCAGTCTTCTTTGGGAGAATCCGGATGGTCGAAAAAGGTGATGCGGTAGAATCAAAACTGAACGACAGCTTCTGTCGTTCAGTTTTTAATGCAAAGGAGGGAATAGGAACGACAAGCAATGATTGTGCGATTGAGGTATTCTCCCTGATACTGAAGTGCGGCCCTTGAAGCTCAACTAAACTCGTGAAGTGGCCCTCCAGCCAAAATAATTGCCCACCCCAATCCTAGGGGATCCTGATGATAGGTCGTCTAAAGCGCAGTCCCAGCTGGAAAGGACGCCGGTACACGGTCCTCAAAGAAGTCATTTGGCCCGTCCCTACCCACCAGTACCTTCCATGAACACGGGTAGAAGCGAATCGGTCTCGGAGAATCTGCATCCTCAAATACCGGTCATCTCTGGGCGTCGTAATGCGAGGGCGGCCTGATACTCGGCCGAAATTATTCACCCGTGCTATGCCGGGTACATCTGCTAGCATACAATATGCTTGAGCCTCTGTATCTCCGCATCCTACGTGCGCATGTGCGGTGCCTTCTGTCTGCCTCCGGGTGTGTATCTCCCTCTCTCGGACGAGCGCTTTCTATCTGGCCGTTGCGACTGTCGGATGTTCTCGGGGGGAGGGAGGGGGGATGGTATGAGGATGAAAGAACACTTCGGAGTCGGCATGGAATCGAAACCAGGGCCTCTTGGTTTCCCGGTCAAGTGTTCTACCGCTACACCACTGAACCCGTCTAGTCGTTCCTCTCCGAGCCATCCCTACAACAGGAGAGAGAGGCATTCTTCCCACTCCCGCCCACCCCCACCTCCATACTAAGGGGGTGTTCACACCTCCGATAAGGAATTTTCCGCTGGGACGCGTAAAACGTCCCGGAGAAAAATTGTCGATTC